ATGTATCTAATAAAAGTCATAGAAAACTAACAACTCGAAGAGTGTAAATATATTTTAGTACAAATCATTGCTTGCAAAATCATATCATTTTCTCTTTCGTGGTTGTGATGTGATGTGCCATTAAGATCGAAATAATATGTGTTCATGAATAAACGAATTAGGTTAATGATGTGATTAATTAACTTTAAAACTAAATTTGGGTTAATTTTTAATTCATATTTTGTTTTCCCAATATTATATTCTTCTTCTTCGTTAACCTTAATCAATGTGCAGAATGTGCATTATTGTTTTTGGAATAATAATAAAGAGGGGAGATATGGTCCAAGAAAATTTATCATTCAATTTATTAAAAATCTGTGGACTATCAAATTGAGCCACATTTCCATTTTTTTTTGGTTTTCTGGCATACATGGAGGGATTTTTGGAATTTGGCAATTTGGAAACACTCTAATAAATCATAGAGCTGCTCCAAATTGTTTTATTTATATCTTCTTCATAATCGACTAAAAAATTACTAATTTTGTGCTTTATTTAGCGCGCTAATATAATTAGCCAATTCCTTAATTTTCACCAATGACGATGAAGAAAACAAAAAGCCATTAACGATTAAACAGCTGAGCAATTCCGATATTTTTGAAAGACCTGATTTTTATCGACCGAGAAATCTTCCGATCTTCTCCACTTTGGATTGTTTTCTGTTAAACTTCCGGCGCCGGAACCACCATAGACGTTCACCGTCGCTTTTGCCATTGCTGTTTCATCTTGCGTTTGAAACCTACCTTCTTCGCGGATTCACGCGGTGTCGCAGGTGAGAAATTCGTTGAATGTGCTTAATCCCACTGCTCGATTTTGTAGCATTGGTCTCTCGGATTCTAGTAGACCCACGCACGATGGTTGGATTTTGTAGTTTTTTTTTTTTTGGTTATGAATTTTTGCCAGATTCGTTGATCTGAAGTTCCGATGTGAGTTTGTGAACCGGTGAATGGAAGTTTTTGGGCTTCCTCGCCGAGATTTAGGTTCATGATCCGGCGACGCATGCCACACTAAAATGAAGGATTTTTGTTTGCGTCGCATTTCTTTATTATTATAACTTTTCTTGAATCTTACGGCTAAATTTGTGTTCGGATTTTTTTTCTTTGTTGTTTCTCGGAAGCAGTCAAAGCTCTGTTTCCTCACTGCACATGGAGTTACTGAAGATTCTTGGCTCCAGATCAAACATTCTGCAGAAACGGCTGTGAAATCCTTACAATAATATCAAATCTCAGAATGTAAGTGATTTCTTTGTGATTAGGGAATAAAATATAAGCCTAGGCTTGAAACATATCCAACATGCAAGGAAGACTTTTTTTGATAGAGTCGATTAGAAAGGGGACCATTGCAGAAAACACCAAATCCTCTCCATAATATTTAATATGAAACTTCGTTTGTTTATGTCTCAAAACAATGATGAAAAATAACTGATTTCGCTGACATTCTCTGCTGACATGTTTTTGAATAGAGACAATCTTCTTTTTGCCAGAGACATTAGACAAGTTCATAACTGGAGTCATCATGATTTACAATGATTGAGTTGTCCTCATAACTCCCTCTATGTATATATGACAATGCTGTTGTTTTCGTCTTGGTTTCTTTTGGAGTAGGATGCGGGAAGGAGGTGAGGGATGAAGATGGCTACAGGAGAGGATCAGATGCAAGGACCGAGCGGGAGGGAAGAGAAGATTTTTGTCTCTGTTCGTCTGAGGCCGTTAAATGTGAAAGAAAGGGTAAGGAATGAGGTGGCCGATTGGGAGTGTATCAATGAGGAAACGGTCATATACAGGAGCCATCTTTCCATTTCCGAGCGTTCCATGTACCCCACTGCATACACATTTGGTAAGCTTTGCTTACTTTTGCAGTTTCTTGATCAAAGGTAATCCTTAATTCTATCTTGCTGAGCTTTCCTATGCCTCTAGACAGAGTGTTTGGCCCTGAGAGTTGTACTAGGGAGGTGTATGATCAAGGGGCAAAGGAAGTGGCTCTCTCTGTTGTTAGTGGAGTTCATGGTAAGCCATGTCTTGTACTGCTTTCTAATCCTTATCCACTGTGGATCATGTTTGATACAAGTTTCAACTGGTTTCAGCTAGTGTTTTTGCATATGGACAAACAAGCAGTGGAAAGACATACACTATGAGTGGAATTACTGATTACGCCTTGGCAGATATATACGATTACATTGATAAGGTGAAGTTAACTTTATCATAGTAATCTTACTGCATTATTTCTAGTCCATTCACTAACTGTCGTCCTTTGGAAAAAAAATATATGTTTTCTGCAGCACAAGGAAAGAGAATTTGTTCTGAGGTTCTCAGCCATGGAGATCTATAATGAGTCTGTACGAGACCTCTTGAGTACAGACATTACTCCACTCAGAGTTCTAGATGATCCTGAGGTAAAAGTTGGCACTGGTATCTTACGGATTTGTATGCCTAATCTCATTTTGCTGGTCATTTGCTCTTTGACAGAAAGGGACAGTTGTTGAGAAACTCATGGAGGAAACTCTGCGGGACTGGAAACATTTTAAGGAGCTTTTATCAATCTGTATAGGTATTTATTTTCAAAACGTGTATCTAAATTAATAATTTTGATGTTTATCATCAGTTTGACTAGTATCATCTAACCATTGCAGCTCAAAGACATATTGGAGAGACAGCTTTAAATGAAGTTAGTTCCCGCTCTCATCAGATTCTGAGATTGGTAAGGCATTTTGCTGATTTACATCAAAGATTCAACGCTACAGTCTTCAGGCTGCTTTTGGAACTTATTTTTGGCTGATATCTTTCACAGACAGTTGAAAGCACATTACGTGAATATTTGGCGAATGATAAATTTAGTACACTCACAGCGACAGTGGTATGTACTTTTGAATCCATCATGTATTATCATGGAAAAAAGAGGAAATAAATTCATAGATTAACTAATTATCCTGCAGAATTTCATTGATCTTGCTGGAAGTGAACGTGCATCTCAATCATTATCAGCTGGCACAAGGTTGAAAGAAGGTGGTCATATAAACCGAAGTTTACTAACACTAGGAACTGTCATTCGAAAGCTAAGGTTAGCCTTTGTAGCACCTTTGTAGCACCTTTATTCTTTGAGTTTGTATGTAATTTCCGTGTCTTGAAAGTTGGTTGAGCATCTTTTCATTGTCTTTGATAGTTGAGTTCTCAAGGCTTTACCAAGTTATTAACAGATTGCTCCTATAAGCATCTAATGTATCTATCGTCTTTGAGTGGCTTCCTTTTACATTACTAAATTATGTGGCTAGCTTAATACAGTAAAGGAAAAACTGGGCACATTCCATTCAGAGATTCAAAGCTGACACGCATACTTCAGACTTCCTTGGCCGGGAACGCCAGAACTGCCATAATTTGCACAATGAGTCCTGCAAGAATCCACGTTGAGCAATCAAGAAACACGTTGTTATTCGCAAGCTGTGCAAAGGAGGTGACAACAAATGCACAAGTCAACGTCGTCATGTCTGATAAAGTTCTGGTTAAACATTTACAGAAGGAGTTGGCTAAACTTGAGAGTGAATTGAGAAGCCCTCGTCAAACTCTTGTTGCCTCTGACACAACTGAGTTACTCAAGGAGAAGGACCTCGAAATTGAAAAGGTAACGCGATTTACTTCAATCAACCAATCAATATATATCTAAAAACCAGTTGCAGTATGAGAGTTCGTTTCCCCTAATAAATTTTTATAACAACCATCTTTTGCATGACTAGCAGCTGTGTATCCGTGTATATAAATCTATTCCATGATCCATTCACTCTAGAGACTTAATGTTCTATTCATTATTTACAGCTAAACAAAGAGGTATTCCAACTAGCACAACAATTAGAGTGGGCTCATTCTCGGATTGAGGATCTTCAACAAATTATTGGAGAAGCACCACAACAAAAATTATCAACAAACTCAGAACAGACAAATGTATTTTTATCTTTTAATCTTACCGAAACCATGAATAAACTCTTCAATTGCTTGATGTATAACCCCGTTTTCTTATTTGTGCAGGTGATTTTGGGATGTCAATACCCCAAGCTGCGGGTGCGCAGCTCATGGGAATCTCTTAATATAACACCAGAAAGCCCTGTATCAACTCAACCATCCAGTATGATATCCCCACAATCAACCGAGCACGGTTCTGACGAGAATGTCTTTCAGCTTTCAGACTTTAGGATAGATACTGGTGCAAGTAGTCCAGCCCAACAACTTCCCTTTTCAACTCCTGGAAAATTCACTAAAGTTCGACTTAATATTCGTGGGGCAGAAACTAAAAACCAACCGCGCATTCACAAGGGGGAATCTGTAGATCAATCTCGTGCTCAGGAAGAACGATTTCATGAAATGGTCGAACCAAGTGAGGTGGATTCTGAAGATACTTGCACGGAATTTCGAATCATAGAAACAGAGAGTCCCGGTATCATCATATATCCAGAGCCAAACATGCTTCCAGACCAGTGCGTGGCTGTGAATGCGCTACCAGTATGTGTACCAGAGTCAAAGAACTTAAGACCACCTACAGAAACT